ATGTATATGAATATAGAATTATGTGGGTAAATATATAAATGTCTCTTGACTGAAGTGGGAACAAGTATAATAATATGGCCACTAGAAAGGAACATCTGTATTGAACACTGCATGTAGACACATTAAAAAGAACAGGTGCTGATCGATCAATCTCATGAAAAGTTCCAGAAGCAAAACTATACCTATGAGCCTGTAAACATGATAATGTGATGTAACAGATTGATACTCTATCACTGCATTGCGCTTAAATTTGAAAGGAGGTAAGCTCCATATATTTCTTTTCAGTATCATTCAATGTAGATATGTGTAAGAATGAGGATAAGTATGATTAACTAACGAGGTTACATGCTACTAGTTCCATCTGGTTAGAATGATTGGTTGATAAATATCTGTGGATTAAATTCACTAGATCGACACGAGCCAAGAATATGTACATAATCATTATACAGAGCTCATAGAAATATGCTATGAACGGTCCCAGATCTACATTAGTTATATTGTCTCCTTCAGGAAGGTAAAACTTAATTTACCTTGAGTAAATAAATACTGGAGAAATGAAGAGATCAATCAATAATACACTAACTTGTCCCTCTAGCAATCAGCTGATTGACACCTCAATCTGTGGAGGTGGCATACATAGGAATGATGTCATCCTATTGATGCTCGCGCCCCCACGTGACGTGTCAGCATTAGATTGCCCATTACGCAAAGTTCCCATATGGGCTACACAGTTAAAAGGAGGATCAGAGTCAGTGTATCCCTCGCCCCTGACAAAGGTGCACATGAGATTGCACTGAAACGTGTGTCAGGTATATTGCTTTTGGGCACTTTCACTTATTACATTGTGGGGATATTTATGGGATAATAATAGTAACAGTGAGAATTGCCCACTAATTCAATTCTCAGATCCCAAATATCGTTATCGTGTTAAGTGAGAAGTATTTCATATAAATAATATCACAATGTTATTAAAAATAGATTTTATTTTATAATAACAAATTAATTAATAATAATAATATGTAACATGCGTGACAATAATCAATGAATATCCAGTATAAAATGGTATGCAATACAAAGTAATGGCTATACACATTTCAATGGCTAAACAACATTTTCTGTCAAGTCTTCTGATTTATGAGGTATCTTTAACACAAACTGAAAGTGAAACTTTTCACAGCGTAGGGCCATAAAACCCTGGCTAACAGTTAGAATAACCCTTTCAATGCTGGCTAGATATCCTAGGTAATTAAGATCTATTCTTATGTAATTTTAAATAAAATAACATTTAAACCAGTTCATTAATCATTTCCTGGAACCATCCAATAAGAGAATCTACCATATTTATATAAGCAGATTTTAATTTGTCTAAAAGATATCTATCTTAATTTAGAGCAAATCAATACACCTGGATAAAAACAACGGTATGCTACCACGTGATACTATCACATTAATATATATAATTATTCTTAATTCCACCTGCAGAATGGAATGTTTATAACTATATATTCTTTAGTTAACTAAGATTTCTTAATATGGAAATCTGACCGTGCTTTATCCAGTCATATATAATGCTATTAATACATTTTAATTAATTTAATTAATTAAATGAAACCAGTATAATTACCAGTTGAGTAGATATTTCATCCGATTGGTAGTCTCAGGAACTTATTTGGATGTCTCTCTGCATTGCTTCTGACTTGGAGTCCCCAAACTTCCAATTCCTCTCACCTCTTTTTCCTTTCTTCCTTGCATTTCCTTTGCATACCTCAATCTTCCCTTTGTCCTAACTTTTAAAGGGCCAGACTCTCTGTACGTCATCAGTTGATAACCCAATAGAAGCACTAGAGGTGTGGTTATCTTCCAGATCGCAATTTAGTTATTTGGTCTATAGAGGGCAGTCTTGTCCCACTAAACATACCTATCCAGGAAAGAGTTAACTTTTCCTGGTGGCTATTTTGACGTCATTTTGGCTTTTTTTGGCTATAATAGGCTTCAGTAATAAAGTCCTTATTGTAGCCCATGGAGCAGCGTAGCTAAGGGGAGTGGGCCTTGACATTGCCACGAGACAGGCCATCTAAAGGTCAAGGGGTCAGGGTTTGGTCACTGGTAATGCTGGGGTGGAGTTTCAAGGGGAGTATAAGTAGTGGCCATTTTAGATCCAAGGATCACTTTAATCTAAGTTACACTACCTGTTTGTTGTAGCAGGATTTGTGTGGCTGTTTTCTTTGTTTCCTCTGCAGGTCAGCAAGATGGAAGATTGGCTGGAAGGAGTCCGGGCTGCTGTGCAGGAGAGGGGGATCGAGTGGCTCAGGGATCTGGAGGTTCACAGGGTCAGAGGCCGGTCAGGAAGACCAGGCCTCTGCAGCAGTTGAGCCCCAGCATTCAGCAGTTCTTTCACCTCCCCTGGGCCCCGGCATCAGAAGAGCCCTTCCGGAGTTCCCAATGGCAGTGAGGAGAGTGCCGGCGGGGAGGCCTCAAGTGGAGGAGGTTGTGGACGGCGTCGCGGCACAACCGCGCGAACGAGCCGTCAAGCGAAGCTGGAGGCGCAGGCTTCTGGTTCGGGAACCGAATCGGAGACTGCCGAACATTCGAGAGGCGAACGTGGAGGTATGCGAACCAGCAAACTGGCGGAAACTGCCGAACGTTTGGGAGGTAGGCGAACTGGCGATTGGGAGACAACTGCAGGACGTTCGGAGCCGAACGTGGAGGTTCTGTTACTGCCGACGTTCGGTTCCCGAACGGGGAGGTGAAAGAACTGCTGAACGTTCGGGAGTTGAACGGGGAGGTAGCCATACTGCTGGCCGTTTGGCTGCCGAACGGGGAGGCAACAAAACTGCAGAATGTTCGGTTTTGAGGAATGAAGGAGAAGCGGCCGCAGGTGATAGGAGTCCTGGAAAGGGGCCTGGACAAACACGGGCCAGTGGAAGAAGGATGAGCGGTACAGCAGGCTTGGCAGCAAGTCACAGGAATGCTGGAAGCGCTGTTGGAGGAACAGTGACAACGGCTATACACCATCCAGGTGAGTCGACCTCTGACGCCAATGCCCCGCCAATGGCTGGGCCACGGGTTACCCCGGGGGTGGTCCCCGGTGTTGGCTTGGCTAGTGACAGCAGGGGGGCAAGAGGCAGACAAGGGATGGCAAAGGCACGGAGCGGTCCAGAGGGGTATAGCGCAGCAAGACGGAACAGAGGGTCATCAGGCAGCAGGCAGGAGTGCAGCGCTTCCCCGGGCTTTCCTATACGACCGGGGAAGGGACGACGACAGGCGAGGCTGGTAGTTAGGGGAGGATCGGAAGGGAGTGATAGCGACGAACAGCGCAGAAGGTTGGCACCAGTGAAGATGACAGCGCGCAGGGCTAAAGCGATGGGTGCGCAAGGCCCTGGGAGGGACCAGTCATAAAGTAGCCAGTTCGTGGAAATCTTTTCGCTTCTCCCCCTTGAGGACTACATTGAGGATAAAAAGGATGCTAAAAAGGAGGAGGAGGAAAAGAAGCGGAGGTATAGGAAGATACCTAAGACATTTGGGAACTGGCTGAGGGCATTTTGCATTTTGGCCAGCGTGATGGATGAAAAGGCGGAAGAGCGCTGTTCACAGCTCTTCTGTTACCTGGATGGTATTTGGGAGGCTTATCGGACATACGGGGGTCTGGCCTGGTGGCGGTATGACAAGCAGTTTCATCAGCACCTGGCTGCTAATCCGGGGATGCGGTGGGACCAGATGAACCTATCCCTCTGGATAAAACTTATGATGGCGCAGAAGGCGTCCCCCTTTCAGACAGGGGCCGGCACGGGCGCGTCTACCACCGTGTTGGCCAACCAAAAACGGGGCTACTGCTGGCTGTATAATGAGGGACAGTGCAAGTGGGGGGCCACTTGTCGATTCAAGCACGAGTGCTCCAGGTGTGGAGGCACCCACAGACTTCACAGGTGTTTCAAAAAAGGGAAGTCAGCCTCCGCAGCAGGGGTGCCTGGAGGTTTGGCAGGGTCCCCTGCCTCTGGGGGCCACACCAGTGAATGTCGGCGCGATGCGGTTGTGGCTAAGCCACTACGCTAACAGGGAAGATGCGGCGTTGCTAGAGGAGGGGTTCACCCACGGGTTCGTTATCCCGTTTCGGGAGCGAGTGGTGGCTCATTGTCTTTGCAAGCTGAAGTCGGCAGGGGAATTTCCGGTGGTGGTTAGGGAGAAGTTGCATTAGGAGGTTCAGCTGGGCAGGGTGGTGGGGCCATTCAGGGAGCCCCTGTTACCCAACTTGAGAGTATCACCACTTGGGGTGGTACCCAAGAAGGAGCCCGGCAAGTACCGCCTGATTTACCATCTGTCCTACCCCAAGGGGTCGTCAGTTAATGACAACATAGACAGGGCCCTTTCTTCGGTTTCGTATGCTTCGTTTGACCAGGCGGTGAACCTGGTGCAGCGAGCAGGCTGGGGTGCGTTGTTGGCGAAGGCGGACGTGGAGGCGGCTTTCCGCCTTTTGCCGATTCACCCGAAGTGTTATCACTTGCTGGGTTGTCACTTCCAGGGGGAATATTACATAGATCTTTGTTTGCCCATGGGGTGCTCTATATCGTGCGCGTACTTTAAAAAATTTAGCACATTCCTGGAATGGGTGGTAAAGCTGGAAGCGGGCACTGGGATGGTAGTCCGTTATCTGGATGATTTCCTATGTGTAGGGCCTCCTGGATCGGAGGAATGTCGCAGGGGATTGAGGACACTGGAATGGGTGGCGCACGTGATTGGAGTCCCCTTGGCAAGTGACAAAATGGTGGGGCCTATGACCTGCCTGAGTTTCTTGGGCTTGGAGATTGACTCAGTAAAGGGGGAGTGCAGGCTGCCACAGGACAAGTTATTGGCACTCCGGCAGGCGGTGGCGGAGGTGTGGGGAGCTAAGAAGGTTACGCTCCGGGCGCTTCAGTCTCTGCTCGGTCGGCTAAACTTCGCCTGTCGGGTGATCCCGGTCGGACGGGTTTTTAACAGGTTCCTAGCCAGGGCAATGGCGGGGGTGGTGTTCCCGCACCACCTTATTCGGGTATCAGGGGCCATGAAGGCTGACTTGGACATCTGGGGGGAATTCTTGCGGGATTTTAACGGGAAAGTGTTCTTTCGGGAGCCGGCGGCGTCTTCTCAGGAGTTGGAGCTGTTTACGGACGCGTCGGGGAGTGTAGGGTTTGGGGCTTACTTTTTGGGTCAATGGTGCACTGGTACTTGGCCAGGGGCCTGGAAGGCCAGCCCGCTGATACGCAACCTAGCGTTCCTGGAATTGTTCCCGTTGGTAGTGGCGCTGTCACTGTGGGGTCCACAGTTGAGGGATAAGAAGGTGGTATTCTTTTCGGACAATATGGCAGTGGTAGATGCAGTGAACGGGCTATCAGCGTCCTCTATCCCGGTGGTGCGGCTTCTTCGCCATTTTGTCTTGTTCTGTATGAGGTTTAACATTGTGTTTCGGGCGCGCCACGTGCCGGGACTGTTGAATGTCATTGCTGATGCGTTGTCTCGTTCACAGTGGGAGAGATTTCAGCAGGTGGCACCTGGCGCATGGGAGGAAGGGATGTCTTGCCTGGACGAGATGTGGTGGCTCGGGACATCATGCTTGGCGGACTGATCAGGGATTCCCTGGCACCCGCTACCTGGGCGGCATACAGTAAGGTGTGGGGAGAATGGGACGAACTGGTGCAGCAGACAGGGGGTCAGCTCTCAGAGGAGGCGTGGTTGGATGCGCTGCTGTGGCTCTTGTGTAGGTCAGTTACCACAGGGGTTTCGGCAGCGGTGATGGGGCGTAAGCTGGCAGCGCTAGCGTTCTTGTTCAAATTTAATGGGTGGGAGGATGCTTCCAAAAAATTTCTGGTTAGACAGGCACTGAAAGGTTTCAGGAGGGGTAAAGTGTCAGTGGATACTAGGAGGCCAGTGTCGTTCGAATTGCTGCAGCGGGTGGTCCGAGTGTATTTTTCAGGATACGAAGTGACGTTGTTTTCTGTGGTTTTTAGTTTTGCCTTTTTTGGGGCATTTCGGGTCAGTGAGCTAGTTAGCAGCAATCGCCAAAGGTCCAGGGAACTTCAGGCGATGGACGTGGAAGTGTGGAGCAACAAGGTAGTGATTAACCTGAGGCGGTCCAAAACGGATGTAATGGGGAAAGGAACGTTGGTTACGTTGTGGGAGCTCCCAGGTGGGAGAACTTTCCCGGTTAAGTGCGCAACGGCCTTCCGGGAGGTGCGAACAATGGCCGGGGGTTCATATTTCAAGCATGAGGACGGCTCTTCGCTATCGAAGTTCCAGTTCCTCAGGGTTTTTCGGAAGGCGTTGGCAAGGGTGGGTGTGGACCCGGGCCAATTTGGGACAAATTCTTTCAGGATTGGTGTGGCTACTGAAGCAGCAAGACTAGGTTTAGGTGACGAACGGGTGAAAAAGATTGGCAGGTGGGAGTCCCTGAGGTTCAGGTCTTACATTAGGCCAGACAAGTTGGTTTAAGTTGGAGAATGGAAAAGGGGGAATGTTGGTGGTTGTTTTATGGTTGTCTATGTTTGCTTTATGTTTTACAGGTCGGATGGCATGGGTGGTCGGCCACTCATACGTACACTGGGCGCAACGGAGAGCTGCAGTTCGACGTCACGGTCTACAGCTGGGCTTTCCAAGTTCTGTGGTGCAGCTTTGGTGGTTTGGTTGGGGTTGAAATGTTATATGTGAGGAAATGTTTCACAAAATTATTTTGGGACAGGTTCCGGACATAGTGGTGCTTCATGCAGGAGGCAATGATGTGGGGTCGTTACCTCAAAAGGTCCTGCTCAAGTGTATGAAGAGGGACGTGGACAGGTTAAGGGAGTTAGTGCCAGGGGTTATGGTAGTATGGTCGGAAATGGTTCCGAGGTTGTACTGGCGGCACGCGCGGAATCCCTCCGCGGTGGCGAAAATTAAGGGTAAGGTTAACAAGGTGATGGCAGCGTATGTGAGGCGGTCAGGGGGGGTTGTGTTCAGGCACAGGGAGTTGGAAGACATGCTCCCAGGTTATTATAGGAGTGATGGGGTCCATCTGACCAATGTGGGTTTGGACTTTTTGTTGCTGGGTTTCCAGGTGAGCCACCAGAGAGCGCTCAGGAGCTCGAGGAGTGGGACTCTGAGCTGTGGCGGGGGATGGAGAGTAAAGTTGGGGAGAGAAAAGAGTGAGATGGGGAAAAAGTTTGGAGTTCAGGGCTAATAGGTAGGCCTTTGGACTGGTTTGGTAGGTTCGAGCTGGTAGGTAGCTCCAAACCGGGTTGTGTATGGGGTGTCTCGGTATGCCCCTACACTTGTGGTGACCTTTGGTGGTAATGGATGGTGCCCTTTGGTGGCACTGGATGGTGCCCTTTGGTGGCAATGGTCATGTTCATGTTAAATAAAATGTTCAAGGTTTGGGTGTTATGTTATGTGGGGGTGGGTCATTGTCAAGGGGTTAATTGTAAATGCAGGATGTTAATTGTGCAGGCCAACGTTGGCCTGCTGTTGACAATGACCTTTAAATTTATGTTAATTACAAATAAAGCTGTGATATAATTTTGCCAAAACCATGGTGTCGGTGCTTTATTGGGGATTGGGGTATTTGGTGGGGGTTCTTAAGCAGAGGCCAACAAAGCGACTGTGCTCATGTCATGCAGTTTTAAGCAATGAGTAAACCTTGTAGAACTCCTTACAAACATTGAAATCATATTACTAGTTAGGTTTAGGAGTAGCCTTATAAGGCTAGTTTCACACTTGTATAGTAAGTAATTAATTTTGATTCTCTTTAATGTTATGTATATATTGAGACATACTACTATTTATTACATTATAGGATAAATATACCTATTCCAATTGCACTTATCCTCATTCAGTGGATTAAGTTCTTATTTATTTTAGAGTTCAGAGATTGTGTTAAGCCCTGAGACACCCCTGGAGTTTCATACTGGTGTACAGGTTCCAGGACTATTTTGCCTTGATCCCTACAGTAGTTTTTTTTTATATGTTTGTTAACATCATCTTTATTAATATATAAAGTACAATAAGTTTGTTAAGGGTATTGTGAGCACACCTCTCATTCCTAATTTTTATTTCACATTACTAGTCATATATTCTCAATTTTAACTCAAGATGCTTATGAATGGAGAAAGTGTTAAAGTGTGGAAGTGATCAAAGAAAATGAAGAGGATGAAGACTAAGGACAAGATTGATGAATTCAATCAAGATGAGTTTGCAAAGACTGAACAAAATTGTCAACAACAAACAAATATGGATAAATCTCATATATCAAGCCAGCATATGTCAGACTCAATTTGGTTATTAGCAGCAACAAATTCCTGTGCCTATCAAGATTGTTTAGTATGTAAATTCTAGCAATGATTTTTTTTTTTTTATAAATGTTCACAGTTCAGACTTATATTTAAGAACAATGTGAGTTAAATAATTCTCAAGTCATTTGACAAATAAGCTTTTATTTTTTTTATAATGTACAAGAAAATCTACATTATAATGTAACCATAAAGTAAAATTGGATTTAAAAATCAAATAAATTAACTCCTCTGCTTTTAGACGTTGTAGAGAATTAATCATGGAATAATGGACAAAATTACCAACATGTGTAGAAAGTCCATATAAATATTTGGAGGATTATTTTAGTTTATTAGAAATGTCATCAATTTTAGAAATGTTTAAATATAGGTGGCTTATTTGATGAAGAGTTTGGAAATATTTGTTTTACATAATTTTAAGACTACTTGAACACTTGCTGAATTTGATTTATTGAAAGTTAATTTTTCAATAAAGAATTATTTCTGGAAGTATAAAGATAAGTGCTGTGAGATACAATGTGTAAGGTTTTTCTTGCAGTTCTTTTTTTAACATATATTTTTTTCAGTTTAGGATTGGTGATACTTTCATTGGTATTTGACAGTGAAATATCTTCATGAACGTTTAGGGTGCTATGGAAAATAAATAAGATTTATTTGGCCAAGTGGTACCACTTTATTTAACAGTACTCAATAATACATAACAATATTGCATAATAGTTCAGAAATCCTTTATGAAATAGTTTTTATTGAAAGGAGTCATGGGATACAGAGCATGACTCCTTTCAAAAAATTTATAAATTTGTAAAATATTTCAAACATGAAGGATGTCACATTAGTAACATAAGTGACCAAAATAAAACACAGTTGTATCATTTGAATAATATCTTTATGCAACTCAAAAATAAAGAACTAGTTAGCATCATGTCTCAGATTCCACTTTCCTCCCTATTTTTGTATGGTTTACTTACAAAAGAGAGGACAAATATACTATCATCCAAGATTATATATTTTTTGTTTTAAAAGACAAAAACAACAGTGACATTAACATTAAAAGAGAAATAGCAACTTAACAGAAAGTAAAAAAAAACAAAAAAAAAACAATAGTGCAGTACAATTAAATTACAGTGAATAGTGAGAATCAAATGCAAAAGGAATACACACTTCATAGAGTTAAAAGATCTCTACTGTAGTGAGCATGGATGCTATGATCCTAGTCAGCAGCAGCAAGTATGATGGAGATCTGATTGGCACAGTGCAGTGTTTTGCCACGCATGCGCAATAACCTTCCAATCCTTTCTTATGGGAAAGCATTGGATTGGCTGAGATTATCAAGTTTGATGATATCAACAATAGAGGTTGAAAAAAAGTTAAGTAAAATACCTTTACAAAGTAAAACCTAACAAGTGATCAAATTATTATAGTGTCATGAATACATGTTTGTGTTCCTGACATTATAGTGTTACTTTAAATTTGAAATTAATTTAGAATTCTCACTTAATTGAATAATCCTAATATTAGTTTTGGTGCTTACAGATTTACTTTAAAGGGACACTATAGTCACCAAAACAACTACAGCTTATTGAATCTGTTCTGGTGAGTAGAATCATTACCTTCAGGCGTTTTGCTGTAAACACTGTCTTTTCAGAGAAAATGCAGTGTTTACATTACAGCCTAGTGATAACTTCACTGGCCACTCCTCAGATGGCTGTTAGAGATCCTTCCTGGGTCATGGCTGCCTAAAATGCATCCAAACATTCAGTATCTCCTCCCTGTGCATGCAGACTCTCAACCTTCCTCATAGAGATTCATTGATTCAATTCATCTCTATGAGGAGATGCTGATTGACCAGGGCTGTGTTTGAATCATGCTGGCTCTGCCCCGATCTGCCTCTTTGTCAGTCTCAGCCAATCCTATGGGGATGCATTGTGATTTGATCAAGCCACCACTTCTGATAATGTCAGCAGACAGGTTTTGACTATTGACTATTCTGAGTCAAACAGCATGCAGAGCTACAGCTTCAGGCTTGAATAAAAGTAAGATTTTTCTAATTTTAGGGAGGCATGAGGGGCCCAGGGGGGCTGGATGGTGGTTTTAACACTATAGGGTCAGGAATACATGTTTGTGTTCCTGACCCTATAGTGATCCTTTAAGTTGGGGATGACTCCATAACAACAGTTAAATAAAATATACTATTAATATTTTATTTTGAAAATGTTACATATGAAATTAATATTTAATTTTAACTGCACTGAACAAAATTATAAAGCAACACTTTTGGTTTTGCCCCTATTTTTCATGATCTGAACTCAAAGATCTAAGACTTTTTCTATGTACACAAAAGGCATATTTTGCTCAAATATTGTGCACAAATCTGTCTAAATCTGTGTTAGAGAGCACTTCTCCTTTGCCGAGATAATCCATCCACCTCACAGGTGTGGCATATCAAGATGCTGATTAGACAGCATGATTATTGTAAAGGTGTGCCTTAGGCTGGCCACAATAAAAGGCCACTCTAAAATGTGCAGTTTTACCATATTGCGGGGAGGGGGGTGACTGTGAGGTCTAGGGGGATCCTAAAACCAGTCAGTATCTGGTGTGAACACCATTTGTCTCACGCAGTGCAACACATCTTCACATTGAGTTGATCAGGTAGTTGATTATGGCCTGTAGAATGTTGGTCCACTCCTCTTCAATTGTTGATAAGATAAGGCCAGGGGCTAATTAAAAGTATTTTGAAATATTGGCAAACTAGATGGACCGAATGGTTCTTATCTGCCATCACATTCTATGTTTCTATGTTGTGCGAAGTGGCTGGATATTGGCAGGACCTGGAACAAGCTGTCGTATACGTCGATCCAGAGCATGAAAAACGGGGGCAAAATCAAAAGTGTTGTGTTAATAATTTTATTCAGTGTACATCTCATTTAGAAATTGTGATAAAAATATTTTTTTTTCTGAATCAGATTTAGATAAGTTACTTCTCCATAAAATGTAAATAAATTATAAAATATATTTGTCCTGCAATAATTTGCTATTTATGGTTACCTGTATCTTTGTGTACCCTCTACATATTTGCAATAAATGAATTGCATTCAACTTAACTTTATTTATTGTTTATTTGATTTGGATTTCAGTTTTAATATGTGTTGCAAGTCTCAAATGTAAAACAAAACAGTTTAGGAATGGTTTAATTTATAATAAGTTAGAATTAAGCTATCTAGTGGTCTCGAATATTTCAAAGCATTTTATGTTTTATAATAAGTTTACTCCATTTATCATTAGAGTCATAGATCAATCACAGTTACAATAAAAAATAATGCAATTAATTGCCTTCATCATATACCTTAAATGTAACAACAATGTTATCACATCTGACACTATTTCATTAATTTCACACCTGTTTATTGAACATGTAAACCATAGGGAGAGACACCAGATTTTAAGAAAACATACTCAACTGACTTTAATTCAAGAACAATAGTACATATATATGCTATGTGTCATCACTATATCCTGTATTCTTTAATGGTGACACAATTCAATGCTCAATATTTTGCATTATGTGATTTAGAAGGATAAACAGACAGACAGATATTGTAAATACTAACTTAAGAAAAAAACAATAGTCATGCAAGTCTCTACGGCTTTAGTAATAATAAACAAACAAATTTGCAGTGTACTCTCACAAAATTCTTCCATATTCAGTTTACAAAACCAGATTAGTCTATTTTAACTGACATGGAAAATATGACCATCTTTGATGCCTGGGAAAA